CAGTGGCAAGCCTCAAAACATTAAAAACAACAACTTGCATATCATAGACAGTTAAAAAAAAAAAAAAAGAAATGAATGCCTGGTACAAGTAAGAGCCTCTCCGGGAAGCAGATGCTTAAGGCACACAAGCATCAAGCATAAGAACGTTTATAAGACTGAGTGCCCTGGATCAAAGAAAGCATTTCCCAGCAGAAAAAAGTCAGGGAATTCAGATTCCGGTTGAGCTCACCAACACCTACCAGATAACTGTGCACAGCTCCAGCCCCCAACGATCTTACAAGCTTACCTCTTTAATGATTTGGGCCCCTTTTTTGTCGCTGAATTCCAATTGAGCCAATGCCTGATCAATGGACATTCCTCGTATCTAGAATTATAAATGGCAAACATGAAAGGATAAACAAATTTGCTAACAAAGTCAATGTTTTCATTTCAATAAAAATTGCCTTACATAATCCAAAACCCCAAAACAGAAAAAACCCACTGACAACAAGTTGATACTGACTCATAGTGACCTATAAGACAAGAGGAGAGCTGCCTCTTTGTCACTTCTAGAGAGAACTAAACCCAGGTTAAAGAGAAGGAAACAAATTTCAAAAGGGAATCCCAACCTCTAATCAAAATCAATTGTACATATTTTAACCGTAAAACCTAGACTGTTAGAGTTTCAAACTACTAAAGCTGGCATCTTGGAGACAGCTGGCCGGTTGGCAAGGCCCAGAGAAGGCACCAAAAGCATGACTTTCTTCTACAGGATAAACACATTACATGGTTACCTACAGCTCTTGTCTCCCAAAGAAAAAACTGAGAAGTAACCATTCTGAAGTAGGCTGAACCAAGCTTTACAGAAAAGAAAGCTTTCATAGCCAGAATTCTCCAAATACTGTTAAAACTGATGCTTTTGTTTCAGATACCTATCTATTCTAGTTTCTCAAAAGAAAGGTAAAAACTGGCAGAATTACTACTTTGTCCAACATTCATTTGATTACTTATGAAATGCTCCAATGTATAAAATTATATGCTTCATTTCCCCACCCCAATCTCAGGAGGGAAATGCATAGCTTCTTTTCCTAAATATTACACGGTAATTATTCATTTTAGCTTACCAGTTTTGCCAAATACCACATCTTCTCTTTGCTGTATTTTATCTGTCTTCGACAGTGGTAGATTTCCTTACAAAAAGGGGTGAAAATTAACTTTCTCAGGTTTATTAAAATCCATCCCACGTACCGTTACTAAAGCTTTTATTTGCCATACTTAATGAAGATGCTCCCGCAAGAAATAAAAGCATTATCAAGATTGCAGATACTCTTTTTCTCCCCCACACAAAGTTGTATTTTTCTGAAGTCTCATGATGTTCACATATTACTAGAGAGAAATAGAAACTATAAAATGGCCAGTGTGTGCCACTGTCCACATTTCTTTCTTTCTTTTTTTTTTTTTTCAGTATATGTGCTGCCGAAACAAGCAAATGTCCACAACATTTCTATCCAGAGTGATAAGATTAAAATGACAGTACTTTAAAAACATTTACCCAGGGAACAGAGGGACAGGGACAATGAGAAGAGAAGACTATTTGGACAAGGGTATAGGTTCTTGAATCAGATTGCCTGGGTTTAAATCTCAGCTTTGTCACTTACTAACTACAAAACTTCCGATGAGTTACTTAACCTTTCTGTCCCTCCGTTTTTCCTTTAAAAATGAGTATACAACTCTAACAACCTTATAAACCAATTATAAGAATTCAATAAAATAACTTATGCAATACACTTTATAGTACCAGGCATGTGGTACATTCACAAAAAATGTTAACTTTTATTGTCACCCACTTAAAGTAGTTGTAGCTGTCGTAATTGCTGCCGGGTGCCTTCGTCAGCACTGACGAATAGGAACCCTATGCACCACCAAACGAAATGCTGCCCAGTGCTGGGCCATCCTCGTGATTGTCCGTGCCTCTCACTGAGGAGCTACGCTTTCACTGACTCGTGACTTTTTTGAGCATGATGACCTTCCCCAGGGACTTGTCCCTCTTAATAGGTCCAAAGTCTATGAGACAACGTCTCTCCATCCGCTCTTCTAAAGAACATGCTACCTGTACTTCTGCCAAGACAGAGCTATTTGCTCATCTGTTGGCAGCCATGGTCTATTCAATACACTTCATCAACAGCATGATTCAAAGGCATCTGTCTTCTCTGGTCTTCCTTACTCATTTCCCATCTTTCATATGTATATAAAGCAATTGGGGGGAAGACAATTGAAAATGCCATGGCTTGGTTCACATGAACCTTAGTCCTCAAAATGCTATCTTTGCTTTTTAACACTTTAAAGGTTAAAATTAAATGTCAAAACAGCTGAAACTTGAAAGGTATTTTCCAGCAAATGTGTACAATGGAATGTCATTTGACTTCCTGACTGATGCTTCCATATGCATCCACAGAATGATTGTGTTTCCACATAAAGCGAAGTCGTTGACAACTTCTATCGGTCTTCTGTGGCTTACTGGGCCAGCTGGGAGAATTTGTGTTTTCTTTATGTTGAGGAGTAATCCGCACTGCAGCCTATATCATCTTTATTTTCAACAGTAAGTGCTTCAAGCTCTCGTAAGCAAGGTTGTGTCATCTACATATCGAAAGTTGTTCACTTAAAGCAATCAGTATATCCTTTTGTTTAAAAAAAGCATTCATCTATTAAATAATGTAGAGTTCACAAAGCGCTTTTCAGGTCTATTGTTGTATTTGATCTAACTCTATGAGTTGGGAAAGGAAATATTTCACAATCTTTCCTCACGTTGGAAATCAAAGAGATCAAGTCACCTGACCCAACCCAGAAGGCTGGTGCAAAGCCAGGCAGGAGGCAACGACCAGGAACGCAGGTGACGGACGTGCCACCAGAAGGAAGCTTCTCTTCTCATGCTGAAACGCATGTTCTTTCCACTGCGCCACCGCCCTGCTGGTTAATTCACTTGGCAAGTTAGAAAACGTTTGTCAAGGCAACAAGTGCAGGGACCTCAGAAGTTTCTCTGATGGTCTGACTTCTGATGGAAATTTTCAAATGCCTTAAAAGAAGCCGGCTGCTTCTCACGCGGCCAGCCTCTACCGCAGGGCAGATTGCATCCCGTTACAATGGAAGCTGACAGGCTGAAACCGAAGCAATGGCCTAATTACATTTTCGGCAAAAAAGTATCCTGGGGAGCAAGGGAGAGGAAAGAAGAACTGCCATGGCCCATAATATGAATCTGCAAAAATTAATCCACTCAACAAAATGCTCTATGTAGAAACCTTTCAATTCTTGGTATTCTGGGTGAACTACCTTTAAGCCTGAAATGTCTATGATTAGCTTCACATTTTATAAATTTGTGTAGGGATTTGGGTAAGAGTCTGGATAAAAAGAGATGAAGTGCTTACAAGAAAGGGGAAGATTACTCAACATTCTCCTCAAATCAAAAGGTTATTAATTTTACATTAGTTTTCATTGACTTTAAGCAGAATGTCTAAAAGTATTTACACACACACACACACACACACCAAAGTGTAAATAAAGTGAGGAAGTTAGAGGTCAGAAAACCGAGCTCCATTATCACTGCTACTGACTAGTATGGTAAACTGGGTAAAGCTAAATTAGGATATAATGTACAAAATATTTACTCAAATTAAATAAAACGAAGCCTAAATTATAAAATACCTGAACCAATAACTCTTATAGAAGTCTATTTATTTTTAAATGCACTTAGCTCAAAATAAGCGTATAATATCATCTAAAGAAACCTTTGCGGGACCCTTGTGGAATCCACATTACTGACGTATAATAAGCATGACATAGCGTCTACATGTCAATTAATTGATGCATCAAGACGATGCCTCTGACAGAAATGGTTACTCAACAAGGTTTGTGAGATTCACTACTTTTAAAAGCTCTGACGGCATAGTGGTAAAATGCTCAACTGCTAACAGAAATATCATTTAGTTCAAGTTCACCAGCCACTCTGTGGGAGAAAGATGTGGCAGTCTGCTTCAATGAAGATTCCGAAAAACCACACCCTCTGCCATGGAGTCAAGTCCGACTCACATCTGTCAATCTTTTCAAGAGCAGGTAGCCTGTCTTCCTCCCTGGGGGCAGCTCCTGAGTTCGGCACAGTGCCATGAGGGCTCTTTTGACAGCGTGAAATCCCTCTGGGGCAGGTCTACTCCGCCCTCTCAGAATCAACCTCAAGACCGTGGGCGTCCTTACTCTTCATTTACTTATCAAAGCTTTCTTCAAAGACATTGCAAAAAGAAACTTAAGCCACATAAAAAGCACCATAATTTCTTTCTGCCTTCTATTCGTAATCTTGATGAAGCCAGATATAAGAGGAACTTTACGTACAAATCTGTATTGCTTGGAAATTGGTGCTAGCTAAATTAGGAAGGTAATTTTAATAGTATTATAAATGGTCTAAATTGCTCATATGCATTTTCATTTACTCATTCTCCCTAGCCACTTTTATTCATTTATAAAATATAAAATCCTGGTGTGAAGCTACCCAGTGGGCAAGTCCAAGGATCTTTCAAAGTCACACAATGGTTCTGTGTTAAGATCAATGCGACTAGGTGAATACATGACCCCTGTAAATAAGGTAGGTATTTGAAAACAAATTCACGTCCACTGAGTCAATGCCGCCTCACAGTGACCCTATAGGACAGGGCACAGCTGCCCGTGTGGGTTTCCAGAACTGTAACCCTTTACTGGAGTAGAAAGCCCCGTGTTTCTCTCGAGAAGCAGCTAGTGGTTCAATGGCGGACCTTGAGACTAGCAGCCTAACACTGCACCCCAGGGCTCCCAAGGGTATTTATGAAGGGTACAAATATTTCCCGTCCTAACAGGTATATATGCATAACTGTCAATTTGCTAAATATGACTTAAAGTCAGACAGTGTTAAAGTATTTTCTAAAACCGTAGTTTGTCCCCTAAAGGATTATTCACTCGAGCAAAATCTGTACAATTTGAGAATTAAATTAGGTTTCCCTAAAGTGGCAACGTACGTAAATCACACCCTTACAAAAGGTGCACATATGCCACACAAAAGAGGTAATCAAAACAGTCTCAGAAAGTACAACACGTAAGGCTCTACTGGATTAGCATTGTTCTTTATTTGCTGGAGTTAGTAGATGACTTACTGTTAAATACTTGAATTGTGAAATTTGGAATGTATCCAAAAGTACTTTTTAAGTGCTCTTTTTTAATATCCAAGAGACCAGCACTACAAAATTTAAAAATTTCACTTAGATTCTGAACCTGACAGATACTGCTGTGATTTCTCTTTTCAACTAATGTCTGAGTTCAAAAACCTCTGATAAAAAATAAAGCTCAGGATGAGGGCAATGAATGTACAAATGC